ATCCGCCCGAGGAGGTCCCTGTTACCGCCGCGTTTGTAGCCCCGAAGCTTGGAGCAAAGAAGACGCTCAAGCGTGGCCGTTTCCCGGGGCGTTGCGGCGGCCGGCAGCCCGACCAGCGGTCCCTGAGCTCCGGCTCTGTCTTTGCAGGAGACATCAAGTACGACGAGGCGATGGGCTACCCCATGGTGCAGCACTGGAGGGTCAGAAGCAACCTGTACAGAGTGAAGCTGAGCTCCATCACCCTCTCGGCAGGTGAGGGCTGTGTGTCTAACGGCAGCAGACAGCACGTCTGCGTGGGCGGGCAGGCTGTCTTCTCGCCACCGGCTCTCCCGTCGCTACCTGCCCTTCCCAGCTCGCGGTCCTGCGGAGCATTTCTCTAGCGCTTTCCATCGCCGGGCTCTGCTCGGGGGGTAGCTAACGCTCCCAGCCCTGTCGCCGAGGCAGGCAGAGAGCGTTATCTCCTTTTTGCAGGAGGGAAACCGAGGCAGGGAGTTTGCGTGACTAGACGGGATTATGCTAATAAGCAAAACTATGGGAAGGATTCAGGTGGGGGTGTATATACATGCATACGGCAAAGAGTAAATTCCTGAAAAATAGGACCCAAAACCATTTGTAAACGTGGGTCATATTAAGCAAGGAGTTGCAGATGAAGAAGGGCCGGGAGGGAGGATTCTGCAGACTTCACGACATTTCACTGCCACGTTTTTATAAACCACATTTTGTTTCAGAAACGCTGAAACATGTTGTTGCGACCTGAAATGTTTCGTCTTTCTATTTCAGAACAGCTTTTTTTATTTAACAACCAACCTATTTTTAAATGGCAGGGAGGGGTTTGATACAAAAAGGCCGCACACCCAGTACAAATAAGCCAGCTGGAATTGAATAAAATATTTGGGGTCAGCTCAAAATGAGTTTTTCATCCTTTATATTCAGCAAAGCTTTTCCTTCAAAAAATCCACCAACCAATCAACCAACCAGCTAGCTACCCTCTTTTTGGTGACAGCTACGACGTATTTTCTTGCAATATGTTTTCAGTTTCACCACTGGACCAAAAACTTTGATACTGGCCAGCTCTAAATAATGCCAAGGCCTCATATAGTCACCAGCCCCTCCAAGATAGATCATTTCCACAGAGCAGTGAGGATAAATACTGGTGTCCTGACTCACATGCAGGCAACCTAAGCAGAGAGATATCGAGCCAGACAAAACTGCAACCTGTGTATGGAGGTAAGAGGAGTCCGCAGCACCCCGGCCGGTCTGTATGAGCCCGGGTCCCGCACAAAAAGGCAGGAGATGCCAGGCCGCTTGGCCAGCCGGATGCACGGCTGTTCTCCAGCAACCCGCATGACTGCAGCTTCCTGGTACAGCAGATTCCCCTCAGGGAGCAAAACCCCGGCAAGCCCCCCAGATCCCAGCCAGCCAACGAAACTGGGCTGAGCTCAGCTCTCCAGCCCTGCCTAAGGCCGCAGGGAGAGAGCGTGCCCAGGCCCCGGTGGTGCTGCTCCGGGGCAGTCCCAAGCTGTCTGCCTGGGGCTCTGCAGCGCTCACCCAGCCCTGTCCGCCTTTGCTGCATCCAGTGAAGTGTTGTCAACCCAACTACTCAAGTCACTCTGGGCTGTCTCCAGCTGTTCTAAAAATAGGTATCAGTTGTCCAGAGCATTCACTCTGGGGATGGTCTGCTGTACAATCTATAATAAATTCATCCTTACACTAGGACAACTTTTCTGGCTATAATCCCTGCGTAACAAAGGCCAAGCGTCTCCTCTGTAGAAAGCATTGATTTGTGTCCTAGCGTTCTGCCGAAGAGGCCTGAGCTTTTGGGAGGGAGGGGGGGTGTATGTATACATATGTCACACCCCTGACAATTTATTTGTGAAGAGGAATCATAGAACAATGTCAAAGCTGCAGCCTGAGGTAAATAACATATTTTGTGGTTAGCAACAGATTATGTAAGGCACTGAGGAAACAGAGGAGGAAATGCATTTTGTACCTACTTAGGGATATGTGTTCTGAGCAAGGGATCTCGGAGGCTTCTTTCTCCCAGGGCTGTCACCGTCGGCCCTGCCTGGCCAACCTGCCAATACCAGGCTTTACTCTTACAGGCTTTGCAAACATCCTGAAGATCCTGAGCAAGGACAGCAGCCGGGAGGAGCTGCTCTCCTTCATCCAGCAGTTTGGCTCGCACTACATCGCAGAGGCGCTGTACGGCTCCGAGTTCAGCTGCACCATCCACTTCCCCAGCAAGAAGGTCCAGCAGCAGCTCTGGCTCCAGTATCAGAAAGGTAAGGAAGTCGGAGGAAACAGGCAGTGACGCAAATGCTGCCGCAGCCCTTTTTATTCCTGTTTTCCGTCGGGGCAGTGCATAGACCATGGCTGTGCCTGTTTGCAGGAACAGACCGAGGCTCAGATCAAACCAAAGGCCCAGCAACATGCGATCGCTGCACGGGTCTGTAGGCAACGTTCCTGCCTCAGCCGAACCTTCCCGTCCTGCTGCTGCCCCTTCCTCCCCCGGCCGCTCCGAGCTGCCCGCAGGCCCAGAGCCGCCGTTCTTG